CCCGGCGGCCTGGCGCTCCATGCCCGGCGGCTCGGCGCCCTGGACGCGGCGCCCGGCCACGTGACGCGCCGGCCTGGCTGCCAGCCCGACGACACGCCGCCGAGGGGCCAATCAGCCGGGGGTGCTCCCGGCCGAGGGGGGCGGGACGCGGGGGTCACGAGGCGAGGCGGGGCCGGGCGCGGGGCGGGGCGCGCGGGCCGCCCGGAGCCCCCCGCCGCTGCCGCCGCCGCCGCCCCTGCTGCCCGGCCCCGCCCCGGGGCTGCCGCTCGCGCGCGGCGGACGCGGCTCCCGGAGCTCGGAACGCCGCCGCCGCTGCCGTGGAGCCCACCGCTGCCTTTCCTACTTTCTTCTCGGGGAACGTCTCTCGGCTCGGCTCGGGCCGGTGGGCTGCAGAGCGCCCGGCCGAGACCTCCTGCCCCCCCTGACACCCCGCCCCCCGCCCCGGCTCACTCTGCTTTGGAGTCATCACACTGGAACTGGGGCCGGAGCCCTAGTAGCGCGGGGAGGCGTGGGCCTTGCAACGGGTCGGGCCGGGTTCGAACCTCGGCACCCCTAATGGACCCCAACACCGCTAGGAGGGATCCCTGAGCGCAGAGCCCAGAGTAGCCACCGAGCACCGTCGGGGTGCACCCCCCTCCCCACCCACACACCCAACTTAGAAGTACGAGCGAACAAGATTTTGCTACCTTGGTCCAAACACCAGACAGCATCTAGGTGGATCCCCTCCCAAGCAATTCTTCCAGCTCTGTGATGGGCAGCGTGCCCTGAACTGGACTCCTCCCTCTGAATGCTCAAGTCTGGCTCTGGCTTTCCCCAGCCTTTCCCCAGCGAGGGGGCTAGAACACCGTAAGGGGTCAACTCCTCTCCAGACAGCCTTAACCTTTCCCCTCCCAAGTCAACCCAGATGCCCGAGGCTGAGAAAACCTGTTGAAGGTGGAGCAGCAGAAAGGCTGAGTGCCAGGATTCCTGGGTCACCGGACACCCGCTGAAGCTCTCCTGTGACACTTTAAAGTCCCATTCTTCACCTCCCTCAGAGAATGTGCTGTTCATTCAGTGCAGAGCATTTGAAAAAGTGTCATTATCCCCAAAATCTTACCTGATCTATATCATTACTGCACTAAAACTTTGTGTGAGACTGGAAGTAGAAGTTCTGTTATCTGTGCTGTGAAATACCGTGAGCGTGGCTAGCTGGGGGCACTTGAAATACGGCCAGTGGAATTGAACTAAATTAGAACTTTGGACGGCAGTACAGGCTAGAAGCTCCCAGATCGGGTACATCACGACTCTGGATGAACTAGCCAGGTGCATTTCCACAGCAGTGAACGGCTATGGGCTTGGGATGAGCCCATACCTCCACAGACTCCCCTGAGAAGCACCCCTCCTCTTTCAAGTTCAACAATATCTTTTACCTAAAACGCTAAGCAAATATTTAAAATGTTGAACATTCCAGGACTTAATGAGACAAATGGAACCCTTCATTATTTTAAAACTCAGAGACAAGCATAGCATTAAAGGATCCTTCAACCACCCAGACCACCCACAGGTGTTGAAAAGCTGGAAACGACTTGTCTACCACCTTTGTTCTAACTGCTGGTCCAAAGACTGGTGTGCAGGGATAAACACGTCTGATCTGAAGCATAAAATCTCCAGAAACATCCAAGTCTCCAGTTTTCACAGGACTTAATAGGTAATAAAACCTTACATATTTAATTTAAATATTAAATAAAATATTTCATATGCATTAAAGATTATCACAAATCAGCAAAGTGAAAAATGAAGTAGTTAACTGTGCTTAGGGGGAGAAACTGGGTTGTATCCAGAAAAAGAAAGGGCTTTTAGTAACAGAAGTCATCAAGCGTACACATACATACACACCTCTCTCTGGATACCGTATCATACACAAAAAGGTGATAAAAGTTATCTACAAAAGGGAACAACTAAAAGTGAATATTCTTTTCAATGTTGTTGGGGGGGGTTGTTGCTTGGGGGCCACACCTGGCAGTTCTCAGGGGTTAATTTTGTTTTGTTTTTCCTTTTTGGGTCACACCTGGCAATGCACAGGGGTTACTCCTGGCTCTGCACTCAGGAATTACTCCTGGTGGTGCTCAGGGGACCATATGGGATGCTGGGAATCAAACCTGGCTCAGTTGCGTGCAAGTTAAACGCCCTACCTGCTGTGCTATTGCTCCAGCCCCACTCAGGGGGTTAATTCTGGCTCAGCACTCAGGAAATCACTCCTACCGGAGCCAGGAATTGAACCCGTCAGCCATGTGCAAGAAAAACACCCTACCCACTATACTATCACTCTGGTCCCTAAAATAAATACGCTAAACATATTTAAAATATCCCATTAGAAAGAAATTCAAAAAGCCATTTAAAAAAGAGAGCCCAAGGATCAGAGAAATAGTATAGGAGGTAAGACACTTGCCTTACACAAATTATCTTCAGCCAACATTACATATGGTCCCCATTAGGGTCAGGGGTTACTCCTGAGCAGAGCCAGGTACAGACCCTGAGAAACATTGATTATGGCCCAAAAACCAAATTAAAAAATGATAATATAAAATAAAAACAGGAGGAAGAAAACATAGTATCCGAAAAAATGCACATTATAACACTGTACTGCTTTCGCCTATTTTTAAAATAAAAATGCAAGGGGGTTGAAATTCCAAATTATTTAAATCCATACATGGGGTCAGAGCAATAGTACAGTGGGTAGGATATTTGCTTTGCATGCTGTCAACCCAGGTTCAATCCTCAGCATTCCATGTGGTCCCCCGAGCACCGCCAGGAGTAATTCCTGAGTGCAGAGCCAGGAGTAACCTCTGAGCATCACCGGGTAGGACCCAAAAACCAAAAAAGGTAAAATAATAAAAATAAATCTCCATACATTGCAAACTAATGGTATACATCAATATTCTCTTAAATAATTACAACATTTATGTATTATTTTAATCATGGCTAACTCTACACTCAGCTCAGGGATCACACGGAGTGTTGCTCAGGGGATCAAATGTGCTATCAGAGATCAAATAAGAGTCAGTAGAGTGTAATGCAAGTGCCTTAATCTCTCTGGCCCCCAACAGCTATTAACCTTTACTCCAGTAACTTGATGTAAAACACCGAAAGAAATAACCAGAGTTATGAATAAAATTTATAAGAATCTTCATCCAGCAGATTTACAATTTAAAAAAAATTAGAATGAAAAGGTCCACCAACCACAAAGGGTTATGGTTCATCTATACAGTAAAATGCTATAAATTTGCTAATTTTTAAGGCTATTTAATTACCTGGAACTATATATTAAGCAAAACAACAATGAATGCTTCTCCAGTGACATAATGTTAAAGGTTATAAGCCTCCATCAACTGCCTCCCCTGCTTCCAGAAGGCCCTTCTCTAGCCCAAGTCAGCTGTTCTCCCTCCCTCTGGCCTCTGCTCTAGTCTCCTCCCTACCCTGCCCTGCTTTCAGTCCACCACAAAGGAAACAGTCTTAGGGATTTAAAAAATACTTTTACAGGGGCCAGAGAGTATATAGGCAGCACACTTGCCTTCCAGATGGTGAGCTATCCCAGGTTATTTCCCCAGTACCCCATGGCGTCCCCTGAGCCAGAAGTGATCCCCTAGCACAGAGCCAAGAGCGAGCCCTGAGTGCCACAGGGTATGTCCTCCAACGTAAAAAAATGCACTTCTAGAATGCATTTATCTTAAAGGACAGTTTTTTTCCAATGCCCGACATCTGCTGCCACCTGAACCAGTCTCTCAGCGCATCAGCTGTAACTCCCACCTCTACCTCATCCTACAGAGCTTCCCTTCTTTCCTGCTATGACACTCAAAGAATGACTGATGAAGGCCAGACCAGAGCAATAGCATAGCAGGTAGGGTGGCCAAGCCAGGCTCCATCTCCAGCATCCCGTTTGTTCCCCCGAGCACCACCAGGAGGAATTCCTGAGTGCAGAGCCAGGAGTAAGCCCTGAGCATCACCAGGGGTGTGGCCCAAAAAACAAAAAAATAAAATAAAAAATAAAAAGGAATAACTGAAAAAGTCAGTGCTGTGCTATTTCCAAAAGTGGGCAACAGCGCCCTCTAAGGATTGAAAGAGAGCTGGTAAGAGGCAGGCAGGCAGGCAGGCAGGCAATAGTGGCCTCTGGTGATAGCAGTGAGTGCTTTGTTTAAACAAGGGTGATTTCTAGGAGGCCACTGAGTCATTTTTCTGAAAAGGGGGTAGTAGGTCAAATATGTCTGGGAACAAATGGATCTGATGGTAGAAATCCAATTCTGAGAAAGGAAACCAAATTCAATAACTTTACAATCCAAATAATGGTACTGTATGATACTTTTTCTTCGAATTCTTCTATTCACTCCATATTTTCTACAATGGAGCTGGAGCGATAGCACAGCAGTAGGGCGTTTGCCTTGCACGCAGCCAACATGGCCGACCTGAGTTCGATTCCTCCGCCCCTCTCGGAGAGCCCAGCAAGCTACCGAGAGGATCTCGCCCGCACGGCAGAGCCTGGCAAGCTCCCCGTGACATGCTCGATATGCCAAACACAGTAACAACAAAGTCTCCAATGGAGACGTTACTGGGCCCGCTCGAGCAAATCGATGAACAACGGGAGGACAGTGACAGTGATTTTCTACAACAAATGCATACTACGTGTACTTTTGTAGTAAGAGAATAAAGGCCAGAGAGACAGTTGGGTGGGTAGGGCGCTTGCCTTATAAGCAGTCAAGCAGGATCAATCCCTGACACCCCATATTGTCCTGTGAGCTCCTTGAGGAATGATCCCTGAGTGCAGAGCCAGGAGTAAGGGAGTAAACCCTGAGCACTACTGGGTATGGCCCCAAAAACCCAACCAAAGAATAAACACATGGAACTGTACCAAACAAACAGAGCTGTACCTTCTCCTCCATTGTGGCTCATCCCTACGTATAAATATTCATAGTGAAGCAGGGATAGTAAAAGACACTCACTGGTATCATTTCCATATATTTTAGAAAACACGTAGGACCTACAGTTAGGTCAGGCCTCTGGCCAATGAAGAATGTTTCTCTTTTCTAAGCATAAAATATTATGCATCAAAAAGATTAAGGTGTGTCCCAAAACCGGAGAGCCATCTTGTCTGCCCACTCTCAGTGGCCAATAGATGAACCCGGGACCGGAGCAGGTGAGCGGCTCCCAGAACTTCCGCTCTGGGAGGGGAAGACTGCGCTCTTCCTCCCAGCACTGCGGCTCCAGGGGGGGGCTACGCTCTTCCTCTCACGACTGGCAGGCCTGGTGCATCGCATGTTTAGTCACAAACTCCTCTGCTGCCTCCCCCTGCAGCATCTTCATGGCTCGCCAATAGATCTGCCCGCAGTTCTCAGGTCTACCCAGGGGATGTTTCAATTCTTCTTTGATATAATCCATCCAAAGGTCTTTAAAGGGAACAAAAAAATAGTACTGTAAGTATGTAATCAGACAAGAGACAGATAAGGGTCAGAGAAACATAAATGATTATTATTGATTCAATACAAAAAAAATTTTTTTTTGTTTTTGATTTTTTGGGCCATACTAGGTGATGCTCAAGGGTTACTCCTGGTTCTGCACTCAGGAATCACCTCTGGTGGTGCTTGAAGGACCATAAGGGTGTTGGGGATCAAACCTGGTCACCTGCTTGCAAAGCAAACACCTTATCCACTGCACTATCTCTCTGGCCCTGTCAATGCAAGATTTTTAAGAAATTTAAATTCCTATATAATTTCGCAAGGATCCTATGGAATACTTCAACCAAAATAAAAAATTTTAAGTACAAAATTTCACTTTAATCATAACAGGATATATTATTTCATAAACTCAAAAACACACTATTTTAAAGAGGAGTCTGCTACATCTCTATCAGGATAAACTAATCTCAGAAAGTCTGTTATACTCTTGTTACCATTCTTAATGGGCTGGAGTGATAGCACAGCGGGTAGGGCATTTGCCTTGCAAGCGGCCAACATGGCTGACCCGAGTTCGATTGCTCCGCCCCTCTCGGAGAGCCCGGCAAGCTACGGAGAGTATCTCGCCCGCACAGCAAAGCCTGGCAAGTTACCCAGGACATATTCGATATGCCAAACACAGTAACAATTGTCACAATGGAGATGTTACTGGGCCCGCTCGAGCAAATAGATGAACAACGGGAGGACAGTGACAGTGACAGTGACCATTCTTAATAAAACTTGCTTGAGTAAAAATGTTTTCACTCATTTCACCAGGAAAGGTACAATGAAATCTTGTAAGAACAAGCATATTTTTTAGATAAGCTATATACACAAGCAAGTTTTTAAGTTCATATATTAACAAATTTTTATGAAATAACTTATAACCAGATATTTTTAATTCCTCCAAATGAGGACATTGTGGTAACAGCCAATGACAGGTGTCATAGCATCCCACTACCCTTTACTATATAACTCCCAATACTTTTTGTTTTCTTTCCTTCTTGGACCAACCCTGGCAGTGCTTACTCAGGAATCATTCCTGGTGGGGCTCACGGAACCATAAAGGGTGCCAGGGATTGAACTGAGGTCAGGTGCATGCTGTACTATCTCTCCGGTCCCTCCCAATCCTTTTTGAACTGACTTATGTAATTTACTTTTCACTTTTCATTATAATATTTAAGTTCTTTGGGCTACACCCAACAATGTTCAGGGGTTACTTCCTGACTCTGCACGCAGGAATCACTCCTGGCAGTGCTGGGGTGACCATACGGGATGCAGGGGATTTAACCTGGGTTGACTGCATGTAAGGCAAATGCACTGTCTCTTGAAGTATCACTCCAGCACCTAAATATTACATGTATTAAATGAAATAAAGCAAGCAAACTGCTCTCTAGTCCAGAGATCTTTACTAAGAAGACTCCAGATCCTAGGAGCTTTGTAAACCTGAAATGATAAACTTTATGTCTATTACTATTTACATACCAAGTGAGCGACAAGCCCAGGATCAGGAAAGAACCCCAGTTTTATTCTCAAAGAGGACCATGATCCAGAAAGAAAAGTGCCACTTATCCACCCAGACTGAATAGATTCCAGAAGTTGCATTCAGAGACCTATTGAATGGTGTTCAGAATGAGGTTTACTCACCAGAATCTACAGATCCAAACTCTCGCAAAGCTCTCTCGTAGTATTCTCTTAAATTCGCCATCTTGCAGGATTCCTAGCAAAAATGATCAGATCATCTCATTTATATGACACAAATTCATTCAATCCCATTTTAAGTTAGCTACCACCTAGCTATTAATTGAAAGGGAGAATGGGTGGGGTTTAAGACAAAGAGTCAGGTTTTCATCTAATCGAAAGTGAAATGAACTACTTACCAGAGTGATATAAATGTCAAATAGTAATAAAAGCACTTGGGCATGGTAGCCTTAAGTTAAATTAAAATCTCAGTTTAATTCTCAGTTGGGGAAATGTGGGCAGCATCACAGGAAAATGTATACAAAAGCACTAAGGGATGAACTGGACTAAGGGACAAACGGGGAAGGTTTTAGTCCCTATGGCTAGGATTTCTTCTTTTTTAAATATCTGGCTCTGGCATAAATGAATCCTGTCTACCTTAAAACAGTGTATAGGTTGGGGCTGGAGAGAGAGCACAGTAGGTAGGGCATTTGCCTTGCACGCGGCCGACCCGGGTTCGATTCCCAGCATCCCATATGGTCCCCTGTGCATTGCCAGGTGTGACCCAAAAAGGAAAAAAAAAAAAACAGTCTATAGGCAAAATATAACTAAATACTAATGATATGACCTTCAAAAGTTCTTTGAAGCCCTCCAGCCTTAGGAGCTTCCTTGCTCATGAGAAGGAGCAATACTAGAGCAGGTAGGGCTTGCCCTGCATTTAGCCGACCTGGGTTCGATCCCCAGCATCCCCAGCATACAGTTCAAGAGCATCGCCAGCAGTAATTTCTGAGTGCGGAGTCAGGAGTAACCCCTGAGCACTGCTGAGTGCGGCCCAAAACACAAACAACAAAAACCTACTAAGAACACAGGAATGCACTTACAAGCAATACTGAAAACATGTGGTGTAGAGTCACAAATACAACAATACAAAACCATGTATATAAAAACACACAAATAAAAAGATCTACAACCCAGCTTGTAATAAAAATAAAAATAAATAAATAAAACGGCTGGCTGTGGGAAAAAAAACAGGAGATTACAAACACATTTAGGTATTGTATTATTTTCACCGAGATATTTCTATTATCAGCCCTCACCAGCAAATTTAATTTAAAAAAAATCATGCACCGGGCTGGGGAGATGGTTCAAAGGGCTGGAGCACAATCCAGCTTGATCCCCAGCACCACGTGGCACACCCCTAACTCAGTATGGCCAGGTGATCCCCAGCACCACCCAGTCTAAGCTCTAACCCACCGCACATGCAGTCAGGTAAGTCTCACCAGGTGTGCCCAGTAGTGCTTGGAAAGGCAAGAAATCTCCAAGATAGGGTGTCTGTTCTTTATCTTACAACCCCAATACAGAGACAATAGGGTGCTGTGGAGGAAGCAAGGTAAGGGACTGCGCTCCACCTAGCAGGGAAAGTTTCCTAAGGCAACTGACATGTCTGCCTGCTTTCGGGACAAATACTGTCTCCTCTTTGCTTGTACCTATTCCTACGTTATCTCTCTGAAAAGGGAATTGGACAAAAGGATCAGAAACGTATACAGTAGCATAACTTCTGTTTTTCTGAATGATGCCAGGGATCACACCCCGGGAGGCAAAGTATGTGCTTTATACTGATCTACAACCCAGCTTGTAATAAAACTTTTTCCTTTTTTTTTTTTTTTTGCTTTTTGGGTCATACCCAGCAATGCACAGGGATTACTCCTGGCTCTACACTCAGGAATTACTCCTGGTGGTGCTCGGGGGGACCATATGGGATGCTGGGAATCGAACCTGGGTCGGCCGAGTGCAAGACAAATGCCCTACACACTGTACTATCGCTCTGGCCCCGTAATAAAACTTCTGAAGAAACAAAATGCCATCACAGATTAACAATCGCCACACCCACTTTCCAAGACGAGAAATGCAGACAGGGGCCAGAGCGAGAGTACAGCAGGTAGGGTGTTTGCCTTGTACACGACTGACCCAAATTCAATCTCCAGCATCCCACATGGTCTCCTGAGCACTGGCAGAAGTAATTCCTTAGTACAGGGCCAGATTATAAGATTAACTTCTGAGCATCACCGGGTGTAACCCAAAAAAGGAAAAAAAAGAAAGAAATGTAGACAGAGGCAGAAGCTACGGTACAGCAGGAAAGGTGGGTTGCCTTGCATGCAGTGACATCAGCCACAACCTCAGTTCAAATCCCATATATAGTCTCGACTGCCACCAGGGGTCACTCCTGAGCACAGAGCAAGGAACAAGCCCTTAGCAGTGCCAGATTTGGCCCAAAAGTGAAAAAATAAATAAAAATTTTGATGCATACAAATTGAACACTTACCTGCTCCTTTTCGAATTGGATCATTTTCCTGAAAAACTCAACTGTAAAGGGGCGTTTTTCCTGTAAACTTTAAAGAAAGTGGGGAAGGAGAGAGTGTGTTTTAGAAGGAGGGGTAAAGACTGCTGTCTTCCACAGTAACCCAAAGCTTCTTACATCCCATAAATACACAACACGCAGTTCCATCATGACCTGAGTGAGTGGTTCAGCTGGAGTGCATGCTCTTTATGCTTTTTATGCTCAATCCCCAGCACTGAATGACCCCTCTATAGAGTGGAGAGCAACCCCTGAGTAGCACCAGGTGAGGCCAAAAAAAAAAAGAAGAGAGAAAGAAAAAAAGTACCACAGATAGGGAGCTTGCCCTGCACCAAGCTGACCCATGTTCTATCCATTGTGGCACCAGATATGGTTCCCTGAGCCCCACCAGGAGTGATCCCTGAGTACCAAGTCAGGAGTAAGCTCTGACTGAGTACCACCTTGTGTGGCTTAAAAACAAAAACCAAAAACAAAAACCTAAAGAGAAACTGGGTGACTTCAATGCAAGCAAATGCAATGCAAGCAAAGCCTAAGCACCATTCGTTTTCAACCTTCCAATCTCCAGTGACTAACCCCCATTAAACTCTTTCCTATCTATTTCCTTCCTGTCCTCTTCCTAAATGCTCCCCCCACCCCCTTGCTGCAACTTCCACCTTGTTGCTCAATGGCTGGGATCACATACCCTTGGCTATGACACTCGACATTATGGTCTCATAGGGGTCCCATGCTTTAGCCCGGGTTTGTGTAACACATGGTGCGCATCCCCCCACCGTAAGAGTCCTGACACCTGCCTGCCAGGGTGTGGTTCTAGAATAGCTTGCCGTGTTACCACCTCCCAAGACTGGCAGTCTCCTCTACTGTCTCCAAGCCAACGACTGGTTAGTCAACTTCTTTCTAGCCTTGATAATCTCTCCCATGCCGGAGTAAATGTTTAGATACTTTACTTGGATATTTTACTGTGTCTTGGATTAACATTCTTTTGTTTGTTTTGATGGAAGGTTAGGATATAATGAATTACTAAATATTATAGCCCATGCGGCAAATTCTGGCAAGCTGGCTACCCGTGACGTATTCGATATGCCAAAAACAGTAGCAAAAAGTCTCACGATAGAGACGTTACTGGTGCCCGCTCGAGCAAACCAATGAGCAATGGGAGGACAGTGCTACAGTGCAGTGCTATTCACATGTACCTGGCTGTGCACATGGGACATCGTATATATACTGTTAGGGCCTCAGGGATCACAAGTGGAAAGGACAGAACCCAGGGTCTCATACATGCAAAGCATGCATCCACTGAGTCACAACCCTGCCATTACGAAAAGTAACTTTTAAAATAAAACAGTCATGCTCTTCAAGCCCATAATCTCCCCTAAACACATATCTCAATCCTTGCTTGGATATTTTCAGCCTGGAGAAACCTGTGTTCTCTCCTGAACACACATTTTCCCTTCTTTCTCTCCTCTAACATCCTTCTAAGCAAGTTTTGTTTAATACAAACTACCTACCTTCACTAAAAATAATTAAAATAAAATACAAAATATTGAGTTTTTTTCTATTAATGATGGAATTAAAGTAGTTCATTATCTCTTTTCTTCTCCCATAATGCTTTTTATCATGCAAAAAAGGGAGAGGGGGGAACTTTTGAAAAACTTGCTTCCTCAGTTTCTGCCACAGGTAATCAGGGGCATGAGAATAGTATGGGACAGAGAAACCCAAAACATCTCAGAATTACCTTTTAAACACAGATCTCGCCTTTTTGTAGCCGCCACTTCTATAGGCCCAATCCAGGTACTTAACCTTCAGAGTGACTGAGTTGGGGCCAGTGACAGCTAAAATAGCTTTCTATAAAAGAAAAAATAAAATAAAAAACCAAATTGTAAGGAAACACATAGTTACAATAGAAAAAAATTTAAGGCTAGAGTGATAGTACAGCAGGTAGTGCACTTGCTTTAGCCCGGGTTTGTGTAACACATGGTGCGCATCCCCCCACCGTAAGAGTCCTGACACCTGCCTGCCAGGGTGTGGTTCGATCCCTAGCACCCCATATGGTCTCCTGAGCCTGCCAGGAGTGATCCCTGAGAACAGAGTTTGAGCTTTCCAAGCACCACTGGATGTGGTCCCTAAGCCAGAAACAAAACAAAAAGAAAAGAAAGTGTGTGTGGGGGGGAGGGAGATTGGGAGGAGACAACTTTTCCAAAATCATCTCCTGCTACTCAATGAGAGTGCATGGGAATGTATACTATAGAAACCTTCCTAGGACACACAAAAGAATCTCGGAACCAAGCAGCTCGCTGCAGAGGTGCCTCCGGACTTTGCAACAGGTCGATTACACTGGGCTACTTCAGACAGGGGCAAGTGCTGTCCCTCTGCCTGCCCCCTAGGAATCCTGGAGGCCACCACCTTCCAGAACCCAGCGAAAAGTCCAGGTACCCGGGAGCAGTAACGGCAAACGCCATGCCTCATAGGATAGGGAAGAAGCCGGTCCCTTGTCTCCCAGCCCCAGTGGGACCCTGAGATGACACCCACAAACTGCATCTGGCTGCTATTTAAGCTCCTTAACGGCCATGATCCAGAGACACACAACAGACTCTCAGAACCAAGCACCTCACTGCAGAGATCTCTCCAGATCCAAATTATCAAAATTCTGGAATTCCAGGAGCACGTAGCCACTCTTGCGGCCACAGAACATCATATGCTATTCATAACAAGCAATACAAAATAAACTGTCTAGCATTGCCTTTTCGGCAGTTTTGAGAGGTGGCGAGAAAATTCCAAATAATAATGGCAGGACTGGTATTAAAATATTGAATGTAATTAAAGTAGAGAAAATTGTGGAAACTGTCTGCCACACAGTGGAAGTTTTGGGATTGGGGTGGGGAGGATACTAGGGACTTTGAAAGTGGAAAATGTGCACTGGTGAAGGGATGGATATTTGATCATTATAAGACGGAAACTCAAACATGAAAGCACTCTAACTGTATCTCACGGTAATTCAATAAAATAAATAAAAGAATTCCCCCTCCCCCCGCAAAAAAAAAATAAAGAAAAGAAAAGAAAGAAATCTTCCTAAAGCTAGCCAGTTACTACACCTCTCTGCTCATTCTCCACACACAACAGACTACAAACTTAGAACAGGGCCCTTCCAAATACCTTAAAGATTGTTTCAGTGTCTTCCTGGCTTTTGGCCCCTTCACTCCACTCTGCCCAAGAAATCCACAACGGCAGACAGTCCTGCACACAAAAGTTAGCGGGGGAAAAATTAGAAAATGACAGCTTAGCACTAAACTTTATAAACAATCGCTATAAAGACAGGTTCCTCCTAAGAGAATATACAATAGTGGTCTATTTTCCTTTTAAGAGAATGAATATACAATAGGGATCTATTTCCTTCCTGAGAGAATAAACAGTAGGGCTCTGTCACCAGGGCTGCCCTCACTGTGACAGAACTCGAAGGAGTCAGCAGGAAGAGCGGGTCAATACCCAAGCCACCTTCCACAAGTCACTCCCAGCAATATTCTCCTCTTACTCCTAGTTCTCTTCTAGGGGGCTAGTTGGGGAAGCCTGGCCTACAGTTATTCCCATCGGTTTCCTGTAAGGTAAGTAAACAGTTAGCTGTCCACAGCTAGTTGGACACAGCCTGGCCTTCACTCTGCTATCCAGGACCCACACACAAATTCTAAACAATGTTGCTGAATGACCAGATCTCCACTAGGTCCCAGAGATACACCCAGATGAGCAATCAAACAATAACTACAATTTTTGCCCCCACTGGAATCCTTTTGGGATTTTTTTGTTTTTTCCTCCTGCTAACAAAAGAGATTCATTGAAAAGCTTTACGGTTCAGAAATATAGGTGTGTTTCAATATTAGGTTCAGCTTTGGGAATGCACGAGAATAATATCCTATCCATAGATCTCTCTTACAAGAGACCTCAAAGGAACAGGAATTTTTACATCACTTAGTCCATTTTCTAATAATGAGTTAGAAACAGAGAGTCAGGGAGGCAGCTCAACAGCAAACAGAAGGCCTCATGGTGTGTTCAAGCACCAGGAAAGCATACACACAAAATCAAAAACAGACTATTAAATGAAAACAAATCTTTTCTTCCTTTTCCTGTGCCAGCATCAAACCCAGGACCTCACCCATCTGAGCATGTACTCTACATCCCAGCCCAAATTCTTTGACTCTGCACTCCTGTGTCAAGCCACAAATGCACTCTCAGGAGCCAGAGAGATGGCACAGTGGGTAGGGTGCTTCTTGCATGTGGCCAACTAGGGTTCAATCCCCAGCACCCACATGGTTCCCATAGAAGTGATTCCTGAGTGCAGAGGAAGGAGTAACCCCTGAGCATTGCTGGGTGTAGCCAAAAACAAAACAAAACCAAAAAAAGCACAAAAGCACTCTCCAGGCAGTGCTCTTGAGACAATGGGCTTTGGCAGAAATCCTGCCAGCTTTTCCCAAACAAAATGAAATGTAAAACTCCGAGTCAGACCTGGGGTTTCAGCTTTCCTAGGGCTTCTTCAAAGAGCAGAGCAACATCGGGGCTCTTGGCCGCAATCAGCACCTGCAGCTTCATCTGCCACATGGTTGCCGAGTTGCTCAAAGACTCTGTCCCCGCCACAGCCACCTCCAGGGCTTCCTTCATGCAGGCATGGTCCAGCAACAACTGAATCTGAAGAAGACAGAGCGCTGCTGAGAAATTCACAAAGGAGAGCAAAACAACACAGGCAAATAGAGAGCTCGGGTGGGAGCAGTTTCAGCGTTCTCACTGAACTCTTACCAGAGCTAGAAAGACACACACACACACACACACACACACACACACACACACACACACACAAATTCTTCAATTCCCTGCTTCTATCCCCAGGCGATAACAAAAATAGGGAAGAAGCAAAAAAACAGAGGATCTAAATAATTTGAAAGTTATGTTGTTAATAAACTAATTTGCAATACTACAATGCGCACCCACCAAGCAAGATTCTGAAAATAAGATAAAAGGGCCAGGAGGATTGTTCCACAGCTTGGAAGCCTGCCTCACATGCTGGGGGAAAAGGCAACTGGGATAGAGAAGGGACCACTAAGTGAATGATGCTTAGAGACCTCTAAGTGAATGATGCTTAGAGACCTTAGGATGGGAGATACGTGCTGAAAGTAGACTATAGACCAGACATGATGGCCACTTACTACCTATATTGTAAACCATAACAGAACCAGGAGTAAGTCCTAAAGGAGAGAGTAAAACAGAATGTGCCTACCCAAGAGGCGGTGGGGGGTAGGGGGGTGAGGAAGGGATACTGGGAACACTGGTGGTAGAGAATGGGCACTGGTGGAGGGATGGGTACTTGATCATTGTATGACTGAAACGTAATCATGAAAGTTTGTAAGTCTGTAATTGTATCATCTCACAGTGATTCATTAAAAAATATTTTTTAAAAAAATAAAACCTAGAGAAAAAAATTAATAAAGATTTGTGGAATGAGGACCAAAACAATAGTACACAGGTACGGTGTTTGCCTTGCATGCACACGACCCGGGCTCAATCCCTGCATCCCACTCCAAGCCCCTTCAGGAGTGATCCCTGAGGGCAGAGCCAAAAGTAAGCCCTGAGTAAAACCAAGAGTGGAACCTCCCCCCCGCAAAAAAATAGATTTGTGGTGTGACAGAAATAAATATATTTATTCAAATCCATATTGACATACTATAAACTGATAACTTTTTTATAGGGGAGGAAGGGGCTTTTTGGGTCACACCCTAAGACATGCTCAGGTCACCTGGCTCTGATGCTATGGCTCTAACTGCTAACTGATATAACCTTTTTAAAATGTATTTTGATGTTAAGCTTAACAAGAGAATTAATTCATTAATTTTTAATTCATTTTTTAAACTGTTGCTGGAGAAACAGTAGAGTTACTGGCCTTGCATGCAGCTGGCCTGGGCTTGATCCCTGGCATCCCATATGGTTCCCCGAGCACTGCCAAGAGTGACTCCTGAGTGCAGAACCAGGATTAAGTCCTAAGCACCACCAGGGGTGGTCCCGTAACAAACAAACAAATAAAATAAGTGTAGGAGAGGGTGTGAAGAAAAAGGAAACTCTGATGCACTGTTGCTGGTAATAGAAACTGGTGCAAACATTTTGGAAAACATCCTGGAGCTTCATTAAGAAGCTAAAGGATCAGACTGGGGTTTGGAGTGTTAGTACAGTGGGCAGGGAGCTTGCCATGCATGTGGCCGATCCAGGTTCGATCCCCAGCAGCCCATGGTCCCCTGAGCACCACCAGGAGTAACATCTGAGTGCAAAGCCAGGAGAGTAAGCCCTGAGCATTACCAGGTAACCCAAAAATCCCAAAAATAAAAATAAAAAAATATCCAACTGAAGAGATCGTACTGCAGGTAAAGCACTTGCCTGGCGCATGGCTGGATCCCTGACACAGCATATGGTCTCTCAAATCCCACTGTGAGAGATCCCAGAGCCCAGAGCCTCTGGAGCCAGCCCTGACAGATGCTGCATGCATGAGCCCAAAAAACCCACGCCCATATAAAACAGCAGCAATTAAAAAGAGAGGTGCTATAAGATCCAGCAATTCCACTTCCGGGATTACCTACCCAAAAATATAGAAACTCGTAACTGTATGTATCAAAACACATGAACCAGCACAAACCAATTGGAATCAATGTTCTCCACGTTCTTACCCATTGCTTGTACTGGAACTCTGGTAAAAGCTTGAGATTGTGTGCTCTCCTGAAAGCAGTCATGGTTCTTTCCAGTCTCTGAAACCAGAAGAATCCCACAGTTGATTCAAAAGATCCCAACAGGAGTTTGTGGTCTCTGGTACATCAGAAGCAGCTCAGGGCAGGAGAGAGAACTCAGTGGGCAGGGTGAGGACGAGCTGGGCAGTTGCAGGAAGCAGAGAACAGCAGGAGGACACCTCCCAACTGTACAGAGCAGACTCAAGGCCTTCAGAAGAACATTTCATTCACAGGAGAAAGGGCAGCAATGAATAAAATTCCAGGATGCTGTCCCGGACCACAAAAGAGCTGTGATGAATGTTCTTTTCTAAGAAACTCCCTTTTAGTTGATCACCAAAACCACATAAAATCCTTACCTTCTCTCTGAGAAACTGACTACTTGTCTTCTTATTAAACCTTTCCAAGCAAAAGCTGATGTAACACTTCCACATGGCTTCTGGAAAAGTCACAAAGATTGAGCTGATCAGATTACCAATTCTTAATTTAACCATCACCACAAATATTTTTCTTGAAAGGAAAAATTCCTCTAAGAATTTAGGACTCACGAGACAGTACTGCAAGGTGGGCATTTACCTTGCATGCAGCCAACCCTGGTTTGATCCCCAGCACTACATACGGTCTCTCAAGCCCAGCCAGAAGTGATCCCTGAATGCAGAGCCAGGAGTAAGCCCTGAGCACTGCTGAGTGTGGTCCAAAGCCTACCCGCACCACACCCCCCTAAAAAGAGAAGAGTTAAACTGCAGGTGGGAACATAAGTCAGCAGTGGAGCACTTGCCTTGAATGTGTGAAATCCTGGGTTCCATCCCTGACACTGACTGGGGGTGGGGTGGGGGGGGGACACATACACACACAACAAGAATTTAAGATAGTCTAATAATGTGTATGTGGGGGGCGGGATTTTGATTATCACTTATATTAGCAAATAGGGGTCAAGAGATTGTCCAGTGGGTTCAATTTCTGGGACCATCCAGTGCCCAAGCATTGCTGGGTGCAGTCCTGGAGGCCCCCAGAATCTCCAAGGGCCCAAGAAGCAATGAATCACTGGCCCAGTTGGCCAAGAATCCGAGAATCTGACCACTGCCTGGGAGGACCCCCACCAAAAACAAAAACCAAATGAGGGCTGGAGTGACAGTACAGCGGGTAAGGTGTTGGCCGTGCGCAGTCAACCCTGGTACAATCCCTGGCATCCCATATGGTTTCCCAGCACCACCAGCAGTAATTCCTGAGCACAGAGATCAGAATTACTCCTGAGAATTGCTGGGTGTGACCCAAAAAGCAAAAAAAATAAGCACCTCAAGTATTAGGGGGAAAAAAGCCTTAAAAAACAAACACTCAGGGCTGGAGCGATAGCACAGCGGGTAGGGCGTTTGCCTTGCACGCAGTCGACCTAAGTTTGATTCCCAGCATCCCATAAGGTTCCCCCGAGCACCGCCAAGAGTAATTCCTGAGTGCATGAACCAGGTGTAACTCCTGTGCATCGCCAGGTGTGACCCAAAAAGCAAAAAAAAAAAAAAAAACCACTCACACAAACACACAAACATACACACACTTTTACCCTTATTCTCCATTGTTACAAATTTTAAAAGTAAATCTGTATCAAAAGGTGAAAAAGGAGAGAGAGAGAGAGAGAGAGAGAGAAAGAAAAGCACCTCTATAGGTAAGGGGTGGGGGATGGGGTGATGGGAACCTGGGGACACTGGTGCTGGTTAATGTACACTGGCAGAGGGATCAGTCTTGGAATACTGTATGACTGAAATCCAATCATGATTGGATATACCTTTAAGGGTATATCTAACAGTGATTCAAAAAAAGCTTAAAGGGGGTAGAGTGATGGCACACCGAGTAGGGCATTTGCCTTGGTGGGTACCCAGGTTCGATTCCCAGCATCCCATAAGATCCCCCGAGCACCGCCAGGAGTAATTCCTGAGTGCAGAGCCAGGAGTAGCCCCTGTGGGTTACTTTGCTGGGTGTGACTCCCACCCCCCAAAAAAAAGCAATAAATAAATAAATAAAATAATAAGCTTTAAAAAAAGGTGAAGAATCTTCTGCTTTACCATTTCCCGAGTTCGATTCCTCCGCCCCTCTCGGAGAGCCCGGCAAGCTACCGAGAGTATTCGATATGCCAGACACAGTAACAACAAAGTCTCCAATGGAGACGTTACTGGGCCCGCTCGAGCAAATCGACGATCAACGGGAGGGCCTTTACCTTTACCTTTTACCATTTCCCAACACATGACATAAATACCGCTATACTCAAGGGAAACTGTGCAAGCTGCCCTCAGGGCCTAGGGACACCTCAGGAGTAGCACACCTGCCTTGGTGCATGAGGCCGAGAGTTCAAGTCCCAGTAGCACTCTCCACACTGCAGTGCTCACCACGCATGACCCCGTTTCTAAACACCACAACGACGCAAGGGTGGGTGCCACAGGACAGTGTGCACGGCCCAGTGAGGACAGGAGGCCACAGGCATTCACTGCCCCAAACATCCCAACCAGGAAGGGACAGGAGGGGAAGAGAGATGGAGGAAACAAACGAGTAAATGACCACTTAACCATCCAGGGAACCAGCTGGATGGGACGCCAAGGCACACTGTGAACAGGCCTCTGGGAAAACAGCTGACGCAGCCTGGGCAGAGGGAGCCTCAGGCCGAGCCCCAGCCATTCTCCAGCCCAACAGGGCCCGGCGGCTCTCACCTGTCGGGAGCGTCTGCACCGCCTCTTCATACACTGCACAGCACCGCTCCTCCTTCCGGTCCGCCGCCGCCGCTTTGGCTTGTTTCGTCATCGGCTGCTGCTGCTCCTCCAGCTGAGCCCCCAACTCCAGCTCTCGCCGAGCCACATAATCCCACGTGAGGGGGTCCCCCGTGTGCAGGGCCTGCAGGCTGAAAGGGAGTTCACTGGCAGGGGGGCTCTTCTGGGAGCCTCACTCAGAACATCAAGCACAGGCCTGTGCTCAAAAACAGGATTTGTCAACCCGGGGCATATGGTCCCATGTGTCTTGTCTTGTCGTGTGTGTGTGTGTGTGTGTGTGTGTGTGTGTGTGTGTGTGTCCCCGAATATTCTGAGGAAGCCACATGGTCCACAAGACCTGGCAGGCATGGCCCTGGGGGGCTTTAGCACTAAAGTCCAAGTACTGAAAATGTCAGGTCCATACTGCTAGGTCAGGCCAAGTATTCAAGGAGTGACACCAGTGAGACCCAAGCACCACCCAAGAGTCACCTCACTCCCAAAGGAAAAGGAAATAGCCACACAGTAGAAATATTAAGGGCCTATTATTAACTCTCAAGGGCCTATTAATTAACTCTCAAGGGCCAAAGCCATAGTACTGTGGGTAGGGCGTTTGCCTTGCATATTGTCTACCCAGGTTCAATCCCAGCATCCCATATGGTCACCCGAGCACCGACAGGAATAATTTCTGAGCACAGAGCCAAGAGTAACCCCTAAGCATTAGCCAGGTGTGATGCAAAAGAAGTTAAAAAAAAAAAAATTAACTCCCAAACTGTGAGATTCGATGCTGAATAAAACTACCTGCAACACCCAACTACTAGCATGCCCAAGCACAGTTCTCTCATTTTAGGAACAAAAGAAATGCCAAGAAAGCTGAAACACAAATCTTTATGTTAAAGGAAGGATGTATCTGTTGTTAAACAAAGGCAAATTATTTCACAAGAGAAGTCAGTGAGTCAAACAATTTTTTTCAAGGACATTTTCACCATGATACAGTGGTCTAAAACTTAAGTTTTCTTGGAACTGGAGCGATAGTAGAGTGGGTAAGGCATCTGCCTTACAGGTAGCAGACCCAGATTCGATCCCAGCCCCTCACATAGTCCCCCCGGTCTAGGAGTGATTCCTGAGCAAGAGCCAGGAGTAAGCCCCAAAGCACAGACAGGTATGGTCCAAAAAAACCCCTCAAATTCATAGCTTTCTTCTAAGGATTAAATGTGATACCTTCCTTCTCCCTTTCAAAATATCCAAATTTCAAAACCTTAACAAAGAGCCAGAGAGCTACAACAGCAGATAGGATGTTTGCCTTGTATGCAGTCGACCCAGGTTCAATCCCCAGCACCATATATGATCCCGAGTACAGAGGTATGGCCCAAATCACCCCCAAAAACCCCTCAAAATAAAATGTAGCCAGAGAGATAGTTCAGTGGGTAGGACATTCACAAGTGGCCAACCCAGGTTCAATCCTGGCATCCCATATGGTCCCGGAGCACCACCAGGAGTGATCCTGAGTGCAGAGCCAGAAGTAATCCCTGAGCATCGCCAGGTGTAGTCCCAAAACCAAAAAAAAGAAGATAGGAAACACATCCTTACTTACTCATCATAAATTTCCTTTTGCAGATCTTTGGCAAAATCAAATAACTGTGCAATTGAAAGCAATGACACATGAAATTCTGCACCTAAAACATAAACAGGAGAGGAAGGAGTAAAACCCTAAAGTACCATTTCAAGCCAAACATTCACCCTGCTATTTTTGTGGCCTTAGAACCAGACTTAGAGGCCTCGGACTACTCCCAGAAAGGCTACATGAGAATACCAGTCAGGTCAGGACCACGGATGGCGATGCTTCAATGCTCAGGCCACCAGAGGTGCACCTGGCATGTTCAGGGGCCTCCAGGGCCACACAGCCAGCATTGTTCAGGGAAACACGTGACACCAGAGACCCAAATCAGGGTCTGGCACATGCAACTCATATGCTCCAGCCTTTTGAACCATATCCCGGGTCCCTAAATTCAAGAACGTGATGAACCCCAATTGGGAAATGGGACAAAACAAAACCAAAAACTCACAGTCCACTATATAAGCAAAGTCATTATGAATGTTTTAGAGTTTTCAAATACCTGGTGGGCTTGTATGTTTGTTTCTGCTTTTGTGTTCTGCTTTTGGAGTAACACCCACCAGGGCTCAGGGGCAGTGCTCAGGAATGACCTTTGGCACTGCTCATAGGGGGATTCAACCATATGTGGTACTAGGGACTGGAACAGAGATCAGTTGCAATTTTTCAAACTCAGTTGAGTGAGAGCTGGAGCAACACAACAGCAGGTAGGGTGTTTGCCTTGTACACAAACCCTGTTTCGATGCCCGGCATCCAATATGGTCCCCTGAGCACTGCTAGGAGTTAGTAATTCCTAAATTTTATTTAGGAAATTTAAATTTTGCAAAGGCAAGAGTAACCCCTGAGCAACGCCAGATGTGGTCCAAAAAATAAATTAATTAAAATAATAATAATAATAATAATAATCTGAAGGGCCGGAATAACAAAGCAGGAGGTAGGGTATTTGCCTTGCACACAGCCAACCCAGGTTTGATACCTAAAATCATATACTGTCCCCCAATACCCGCAAGAAGTGATCTGTAAGTGCAGGAATAAACCCTCAGCACTACTGGATGCGCCACCCCCCCCCCCAAAAAAAATAAGCTGAGCCTTCCTAAAAAGAAACAGAATGCTTCACTTTCCCATCATATCTTCCAAGATACTTACTTTTAATTTTGTTCACAGAATTTTTGTAGATGATCCGTGCCAATTCACCCTGAAGCACTTCCTCTGGATAATCAAGATCAGCCTAGAGTGTGTTAAATGGAACGTAACTTAACAGGCATGCCAATAAGCAGAAACAGCACACGGATGAAAATGAACAGACCTAGACCATGAGCTCTCACCCATCATGTCTTTCTGGGTCAGTTCCCTCCCTTGCAAAATGTGCAACATAAAATCTCTGCTCTCCCACCTGTCTCTCAGGCTCCGAGACGGCAGCAGGACCACAAGGCTTACAGTCTCCATTCTGACCAGCAAGTCAGGTGTCACATGTTTTATTTACCAATCTATGAAATACGTCTCTCGAGTACAGAGTTCATGGGGCCAGAGCAATATTACAATTACCTTGCACACGGCAGACACAGGTTCAATCCCCAGCATCACATAGGGTCCCCTGAGCACTGCCAGGAGTGACCCCTGAGTGCAGAGCCAGGAGTAAGTACAGCCAGGTGTGTGCCCCCCACTCCAAAAAAAAAAGTTCATGTGGAGTTCATGCCTAATTCAATCAGCCTAATCAGTGGCTGAATAAACAGCCGTACTCCTACATTAAAAAAAAAAAAGTTCAGCATTGGGGTTGGGCAGACAGCTTAGGAGGACTGACGTTTACACTTGGCAGGCAGGAGGCCCAGGCCTGATTCTCCGAACATAGCCAGGAGAGACCCCAGAACACCAAGGTGGAAGTAGCTCCTGAGCGTTGCCCAGGTGTGGCCCAAACTCCCTCCCCCACCAAAAAAAAAAAAAAAAGAAAGAAAAGTTTAGAGCTAAAAACCACAAAAGTAGATGAAAACAAAATTTCCTTTTTTAGTTCTAACATTCTAAAACCTATTTAAAATTATTCTTTCATGAGGAAAAAAATTATATAGAAAGAAAAAGAAATTTAGCAACCACCTATTTCATGCAACGAATAGGACGTTAAGGTTATAAATATTAAAGAACAGCACTTGGCTCTCACATCAGTAATAATTTTAAAGACCGCTTCAACTTACCCAAATGTTTATTTCTAGAACACAAAACCCCTCAAGCCAGAGATATCGCTTGGTGATAGAAAATACATATGTGGCACTGGTTTCGATCCCTGGCATGGTATGGCAGGGGGGTAGAGGGAGGTGTTGACCCTTTCATTACTAAACCTACTACCTATCAGTCTCAAATATTACACTACATCACTGTCACTGTATCACTGTCATCCCGTTGTTCATCGATTTACTCGAGCGGGCACCAGTAACGTCTCCATTCATCCCAACCCTGAGATTTTAGCAGCCTCTCCTTACTCATCCTTCCCAATAGTGCCATATTGGAGGCTCTTTCAGGGTCAGGGGAATGAGACCCATTATTGTTACTGTTTCTGGCATATCAAATACGTCCTGGGGAGCTTGCCAGGCTCTGCCATGATTATACTACATAGAAAATAAAAAATAAATTGCAAAGATTTTTACTCCCAAACAGGCTCACAATTTATATACAAGTGACAATACATGAGGAGCAGAGCTTACCACATCCATCTTGGCTTTATCGAATTCTTGTTTCTCCTTCCTCAATTTCTCAGCATTCATCAGTTCCATCCGAAAGTACTACAGAAGGAAAACAGTAAACTGGAAACCTCTCAAAAATCAACTTTTGTTTTGTTTTGTTTTGGGGCGGGGACATACCTAGGAATGCTCAAGGTTTCCTCCTGGTTCTTAGTTCAGGAATTACTCTTATGGTGCTCAGGGGACCATATGGAATGGCATGCATTGGGACTGGTATGCAGGGTCAAGTGTCCTACCTGCTGGACTATCTCTCTGGCTCCAACAAGGTAAGTGCCTTAATCTTTATTCTATTTCTCAGGCCCCTTAAGGTAGCCTTTTTGTTTGTTTTGGTTTTTGCTTTTAGATCACACCTGGCAGTGCTCAGGGCTTACTACTGGCTCTGCACTCAAGGACCACTTCTGACAGGGCACATGGGACCATACAGGATGCCAAGGATCAAACTCAAGTGAACCACATGCAAGGCACGTGCTCTACCCACTGTACTATTGCTGCAGAATCTAAGATGTCACTTTTTATTGTTAAATATTTTATCTGAGAAAATGTAGGCCAGGTATCTATTTTATTCTATTAGGCAAACTAGGTGACAAGGTACAAGTACTTAACCATCTATGATCAGCAATTAGGAGATACAAATAAGGGATCTTAAACATGAGAAGCCATGGGGCCTGAGAAATTAGAGTGTTTGCCCTGCATGTGGCAGACCCAGGTTTTGATCCTTTGCACCACATATGGTCCCTCAAGCACCGACAGAATGATCCCTGAGCACCATAAGATTCTAGCTGACCTAGATTCAACTCCTAGCATTCTATATGGTCCCTGACCACTGCCAGGAGTAATTCCTTAGTGCGGAACCAATATCCCCTGAGCATCATTGGGTGTAGGGGAAAAAAAAAAAGAACCTAGTATCAAGCATTTGTTAAACAAAAAAACTTCTGTAATGCTGTAAATGTGAACATCTATGAGAACGTGTGCGCAGGCTAATGGTCAACAAATACTGCCAGCCAGATAACAAAATTCTTGCTCATTTGGTTTATACGAGATCCAAGTTCTAATATAGACAAAGCATGTGTTCTACCACTGAGCCATCACTGTAAAAGTATTATAATGCTGGAAAAATTAAAATGTTGTTCATCATTGAATCAAAAAAGTAAAATTATTTTTCAAAGTAAAAAAAAACAAGGTCCAGTGATGTCGCTTAAGTCAGAGCATACAAGTTTAGCATATTTGGGGCTCCAGATTATAAATAGGCACAACGCAGTCCCCTGAGCACTGCCAGGTAGTCCTATTACCTCCAAAACACCTCCAGGTGTGGCCATAGGTGATCCTAAAATTCTCCCCACGAAAATGACAGTCCAAATCCCTCTGTCCCCCAACCATAATGAGAAGGTAGTAGCTTACTCTCTAGCTGGAGAATGAACAAAGTCAACAGCTAATACTGGTAAAGAAATACCCTCCTGGCTCCTTTCACCCAAGAGACCCCTACTTACCTGCTACCCTCTATAAATCAGACTTCAGGGCTGGAGAGATAGTACGGCAGGTAGGGTACTTGCCCTGCACATGGTCAACCAGGGTGCAACCCTCAGCACAACATATGGTCCCCCAAGCCCCACTCAGAGGGATCCATGAGTGCACAGCCAGGAGTAAGCCCTGACCACAACTAGGTGTGTTTCAAAAAAAATGAAAACAAAGACTTGGGGTAGAGGGAATGGCTTGGGATCAGAGCTATTGCTCCATACATACAGATCCTATACTCTTAATTTTGAGTTACATTCCCAGCCCTAAACTGAAGTTTTTATTTGGTTTGGTTTGGTTTGGGGGCCACACCTGGTGGTTCTCAGGACTCACATTTGGCTCTGCACTCAGGGATCACCCCTGGCAGGCTCTGAGTCCACACAGGGTGCCAGGGATTTTCCTTTCCAAGGAAAGTGTCCCACCCACGCGCCTGGAGCACTTTTTTTAACAATAAAGTCTATGAAGGACCAAACTGAAATATCACGCTCATCTAATAAACACAAATGCTTACTTCCTGGTAGAGTTTCGGGCACTCTGGATGAAAGCGCAGAGCCCGAAGAAATAGCTGCCTTGCACTTTCTGAAGATAAGCGATCTTCCATTTCCCATTTGGCTGCCATAATCCACAAAGCTACAAGAGAAAAAAAGACTTCATTTCAAGAAATTAATCAAGTCAAACATGTAACGAGTAGTGCTCCCGTTTTCATATTTGACTTCTATTTATCATACCATTTACAACCAGTAACGGGAGTCAAAGCAGTACAGCAGGTAGGGAGCTTGCCATGCACATGGCTGACCTAGATTCAACTCCTAGCATTCTATATGGTCCCTGACCACTGCCAGGAGTAATTCCTTAGTGCGGAACCAATATCCCCTGAGCATCATTGGGTGTAGGGGAAAAAAAAAAAGAACCTAGTATCAAGCATTTGTTAAACAAAAAAACTTCTGTAATGCTGTAAATGTGAACATCTATGAGAACGTGTGCGCAGGCTAATGGTCAACAAATACTGCCAGCCAGATAACAAAATTCTTGCTCATTTGGTTTATACGAGATCCAAGTTCTAATATAGACAAAGCATGTGTTCTACCACTGAGCCATCACTGTAAAAGTATTATAATGCTGGAAAAATTAAAATGTTGTTCATCATTGAATCAAAAAAGTAAAATTATTTTTCTCAGGGCCAGAATGATAGTACAGTGGGAAGGGTGTTTACCTTGCATGTGGCCGACTCAGGTATGATCCCCAGCATTCAATAAGGTCCCTGAGCACTGCCACAAAAGATTCCTGGGTGCAGAACTAGGAGTAACCCCTGAGCATTGTCAGGTGTGGCCAAATAAATAAATTTTCTCCTTTAGGTTTTTTTTTTTTTTTTTTTGCGGGGGGAGGGTGGCTGAAACCTGGCAATGCTTAGGAGTTATTCCTCTCTGTGCACTCAGGAATCACTCCTGGCAGTGCTGAGGGGACCATACGGGACGCTGGGGCCTGAGTCGGTCATGTAAAAGGCATTTGCCTTACCTGATGAACTATTTTTCCAGTCCCCTTATTTTTCTCTTTTCCCCATACTTAACATAACTCATTCATTTTAATAACTCAGAATTTTAAGTGAAAATTTTTACCATGCCTTCCGGAATCATGGCTTTAACTTTGTTTTGATTTTCCTAGAATCTTTGAAGAGCCACAGAGATAGTACAGGAAGATAAGACATTTACCTCACTCACAACTGGCCCCAGCTCAATCCCCAGCACCACATGATCCCTTGAGCGTCCCTAAACAGAGCCAGGAGTAGCTTCTGAGAACCACTGGGTATGGCAGATACCACACTTCCCACGCCCCAAAAAAAACTTTTGAACTTTAGAAATATGGCCCAATGAGCTGAGCAGATGTTTTGCACACAGAAGACCAAGGTTTGATTCCCTGGCACTGCACACAGATCCCTAAGCACCACAAGGAGTGACTTCCAGACACAAAGTCAGGAACTGCCCTAAAGCAGCACCAGGTGTGGACTTAAAAAATGAAAAACAGGAAGTCCTTTGGCCTACATGATAAATTAACCTCGCATGAATATTCAACATATTTCCCTAGAAATTTAGTAAGGTCAGCTACGAAACTACATCTGGATTAAGGCAGCTATGAAAGACGGTGGAAACTCAGCAGGGCTTTGGGCTTCAGTGTATCACTTCTGGTTTTCATTTCCACTTCAGGGAAATGGCTCCCAAGAGGTGCTTGGGAGGGGCCCACTCTCACAATAACTCGGCCAACCAAGCTGCTGGTTCAATGCTAAGGCCCCAGGCTATAGTGTTACTCGGGCCATAGGAAACCAGGGAGCACCCAGGTCACCTGGTTCTGCTTGGTAGCCGCCAGAGGTACACCTGAAGATGCTCGCAAAGCCATGCAGTGCCAGGCACCACACCTGGGCCAGCCGTGGGAAACGCATGTGCCCTTGCCCCATTCTATCTCCCCAGCCCCAAGCACATAACTTCTGAAACAGAAGGGTCTTCTAGGATCCCTAAAGATATGACATCTTAAAGAAAATGTCCCTCATAGAACCAGAGTTTCTTTCTCTTATATTTTTTGGGGGGGGGGGGGGTGAGGGGGAGATGGGGATGGGGAGGTTGGGACACATTGAGCAGTGGTTTAGGGGTTGTTTCTAAAGGTGCTGGGTAACCATGAGGTGACAAGGATTGAACCAGAGTGGGCGGCAGGCAAGACAAGTGCCTTAACTCCTATACTATCTCTCCAGGCCTAAGACCAGAGGATTGCAGTCACCACCAAGAGTAACCAAGGAGCACAGAGCCAGGAGTGACCCCTGAGCACCATTGGGTGTGGCCCAAGAGAAGAGAAAAATAGTCCTGCTGAAACAAATGCTAGTAGGCAGGGATGAGGCAAGAAGCAGTTATTTGATCATAAAAATGTCCAACATTGGGGCTGGAGTGATAGCACAGCAGGTAGGGCATTTGCCTTGCACACGGCTAACCCGGGTTCAATTCCCAGTATCCCATATGGTCCCTGAGCACTGCCAGGAGTAATTCCTGAGTGCAGAGCCAAGAGTAACCCCTGTGCATTGCCAGGTGTGACCCAAAAAGCAAAAAAAAAAAAAAAATGTCCAACGTTGGGGCTGGAGAGATGGTACAGCAGGTAGAGCCCTTGCCTTGCACACAGCCAACCTGGGTTTAGTTCTAGCATCCCATATGGTTGGTCCTCCAAGCACCACCAGGAGTGATTTCTGAGTGCAGAATCAAAAATAAGTCCAGAGTATTGCTGGGTATGGCCCCAAAACCAAAATATATATAATAAAAAGGGAAAATTAAATGTCTAAGATCAAATACAAACTCTCAAAATTATTTCTTTTAGGTTTATCAAGCAAAATAAATTCCAAGATAACTAGTCTATATGACAAGTGAAAAAAAAAAAAAAACAGAAGAACTGACAAGGATTTCACCATACCTGGCTTGTTTGAATGAATGGCCAACATAGCAGAATATACCTTGCTAAGCTGAGTTTTGTTACCCTGTAAAAGAGGAAGGAATATTTTATTTCTTGAACAGTAAGAGAATCACTCTTAATCTATAAATAATCTGCACTATTCCCTTCCCAAGGCTAAAATCCAATGGGGCAAGATCTGCTACTGCTAGAGGTAAGAAAAACCATCCACAATTGTCTTTTATCTAACCTGGCAAATGGGAACTTTCTAAATGTCTCTGAAATGTTTTCAGCTTCATGGAACAAATGCATATAAAGCTACTTTCCTTCCCAGCTGCCTTGGACATCATTTAAATAGTCACTCAGTTATGGAGATACAGTGCAACAGCTCCAGACAGCAGCTCCCACTCGAAGCTTTTACAGCAGCCTAACCAAGACAGGGAGGCAGGCCTGACCCCAGTACTCACCCATTTCTTACAGAAGACGATGTAAGAAAGCCAAAGTTGGACATCATCCTGCAACCGGGGGGGAAAGAAAGAAAGAAAGAAAGAAAGAAAGAAAGAAAGAAAGAAAGAAAGAAAGAAAATACAGTGAGCTGACCGAATTTGAACTTTCTACATTTTTTTGTTTTTGAGTCACAGGCTACAATGCTCAGGAGTTAATCTGGGCTCTGTACTCAGGAATCACACGTGGCAGTGCTCAGGGGATCATACAGGATGTCAAGGATCAAACCCAAGTTGGCCACATGCAAGGCAAGCGCCCTATCCACTATACTATCACTCTGGCCCCTCTACATATATTTTTTCTTTTTTTTTCTCATAAAAAAAAAAAAACAGGGTTTATTGGGAAGTTCTAAGGAAGGGAAAAGGAGAGAAGAAGGGAGAGGGAAAGAATGATAGAGAGAGGGGGGCCTCTCCATATTTTATATTTAAATTGTTTTGTTACAAACAGAAGTAAATTTCATACAATTCAATGTTTTACTACATCCTTAGACTCTTCCACCCCTTTAAAACTCTCTATTATTATTAATTTGCCTCTCACACCCTCCCCATCCACTCCTTCACATGTGAAGCAAAATTTGCTGTCTAGGGGCCAGTGAGACAATACAGGGTTAGTGGCACTTCCTTCCATGCAGCCAGCCTGGCTGGAACCCTGCATCCTTCTGGCTCCACATGGCCCTCCAGCACTGCCAGGAGCAATCTCTGAGCACTAGCGGGTCCAAAGCAGTTCTTAAAGAATCTCAGTCAGGGGCCAGGGCAATGTTACAGTGGGTAAGATGTTTGCCTTGCAAGTGGCCAACATGGGTATAATCCCTGGCACCTCATATGGTCCCCAAGCATCACTAGGAGTGATTCCTGAGCTCAGAGCCAGGAAGCCCTGAGCTTCGCCATGTGTGGCCCAAAAGCCAAAGAAAATAAGAGTCTCAATCTGAGGTAGAAACCCTCAATTTGTCATTCCAAAAGAATCCGAAGTATTTCCTATAGAACAAGTCCTAATTCAAGAGCAAAGCTTGGAGTCTTAAATGACTGAGGTGCTGCGCCTACTCTAACCACTTATTCTCCACTTCAGGTCTTCAGGATACTTCACTTAGGTACACGCAGAACAAACCCTAATGTTCTGATCCTGAATCATGTGTCCAATGAGCTCTTGGAGGCGAGGGAGATGCCCTGCAGGACTGGAATGCATGCTCTGAGCTTAGCCCTAGCCAAGATCTCATTTCCCTTCACCGGGGGAGAGAGGCCTCCAAGGCCACTCAAATGACTCTTACGGATACTTGGTCCAGCTCTCGGGGCTAACAATTCTGCACACAAGCCCAGGATGCCAGAGGACACCGGGGCCCACCTGTGAGGCTCTCAGGGGGCCTTGCGGTGCTTGGAGCCCTATTCAGGCCAAGCATGTGTCCTCCGGCCCTTATTTGTTTTGTTTTGGGGGGCCCACACCTGGCTGTGCTGTGGGCTCAGTCCTGACACTGTGCTCAAAGGTCACTCCTGGTGGGTCTGAGAGGGCCACATGCGGTGTCAGGGACTGAAACAGAGCTAGCCACATACAAGGCCAGTGACCCACCCACTGTCCTATCTCTCCAGTCCCCGTTTCATTTTTTCCATAGTTGGTGTTTCTTGGTTTGGGGGCCACACCCAACAATTCTCAGAGATCTCTCCTCAACAGTGGCAGGGATCAAACTCAGGGTCTACGAGCGCCACCAGCCCTTTGAACTAGAGCCCCAGCCCCCATTTTTGTTAATGTTTTTTTGTTGTTGTTGCTGTTACTGTTATCAGTCCAACTGGGGCTGTGGTGTGCTCACATTTCAGCTGTGGTGCCAGGGAGGTGATGCATGAGGGTGCAGAGCTCCCACACTCAGCAGTGGAGCTCACCAAGGTCCTCCCTCCCTTGGCGGCCACTCATGCAGTGTGCTTGCCGGGGGTCATGCTTCGTCACCATGACACTCACGGCTTTCTAGCTGTGGCACTTGCCAGGGGTCACACCCTTCTGTGGTTACACATAACCAAAAACAGCTCATGATACAGGAGACCAGGGAAAGTAGAGGCCTAAATACCAAAAAAAATGTTGTTGTTTTTAAAAAAAAAAACAAATACAGGCCAGAGAGAGTACATGGGGATTAGAAGCTTTTTTGCATACAACCAATCCCAGTTCAATCCCAAGCTCCACATACCAGCCCCAGCACCACTAGGTGTGATCCGTGAGCACAGAGCCAGGCGTAATAACTTCTGATTACTACCAGGTGCAGTTCAAAAAACGAAATAAAGATAAAGAACACTGTATTTGAATATTCAAATCATACTAAGGGTAATAGTATCTTACACAGAGATGCTCTGACCACTTACCTTCCACTTTGCTGAAGCTCGTCGAAAGATACCTTGTACCCTTTGTACAATGGAACTCTCAATCTCATCCTTCTTAAAGGAATACCTAATGCGCTAAAAGGGACGTTGAAAAAAAGAAAAAAGCCTCTTTAATCATTTATCCAAAACACCATTCCCACTTGGTCTTTAAACAGTGTATCAAACATAGCAGATACAAAGGAATGCAATTGCAAATACTCAAATTCTGTGCTTAACACACATCTGACCAGGTCATCTTGCTGCCCAAACCCACGACTTAGCTAGAAGCCACAATATTTAATTGTACATTTTCTCAACTTCCAGAAAATCATCTACTTACAGCTCTTCTCCGCTGAATCAGCTCCAAAAGATTAATTTCATACTATAAAAGAAAAATATGCCAAAAATTTAAAAAAGAGAAAATGAAATAAAAAACTATATTCATTTATATACTGGAAATACATTTTACCTAACAGTACTAAAAAAAAAAAAACCCATAACTAGAAAACAGAAGGTAATTAGGTAATTTATGGTGACACAAGATTTACAGTACAGTCTATCAACTAAAAATTCACATCTGCCAAATTCACAAATATGCATTAACAAGCATAGAAAACGTATTAGAGGGGCTGGAGCGATAGCACAGCGGGTAGGGCGTTTGCACGCAGCCAACATGACCGACACAGGTTCAATTCCCAGCATCCCATATGGTCCCCTGAGCACCGCCAGGAGCAATTCCTGAGTGCATGAGCCAGGAGTAACCCCTGAGCATCGCTGGGTGTGACCCAAAAAACAAAAAAAAAAAAGAAAACGTATTAGAGATAAAGAAAGCATGTTACTAAAACCATGACTTTTTTTTTTTTTTTTTGCATTTTGGGTCACATCCGGTGATACACAGGGGTTACTCCTGGCTCATGCACTCAGGAATTACTCCCTGGCGGTGCTTGGGGGACCATATGGGATTGCTGGGAATCGAACCCAGGTCGGCTGCATGCAAGGCAAACGCCCTACCCACTGTACTATCGCTACAGCCCCAAACCATGACTTCTTAGATGTATAATAGCAAGCATGCAGTCAGGTATAACTGCCAGCACCACAGGGTCCCTGGAGCACCACCAGGGACCACATTCCCAATCCCTTAGGAAGTCTGAAGGAGCTGGGAGTGAGCTCAGATGGGGAAGGATATGCCCAGAGACTGCAAGATCCTGGGTCTCTCCCACTATGTGGCCCCCTGGGTGGGCTGGCTATAGCCCTGGCAGGCTCCAAATACCTCCCAGTACCACCACGCCCAAGCACCAAACTACAGCCTGCAGCACAGTGCCTTCCTCACCAGTATATACAGGCCAGCCTTCTGGCCCCTACTTTTAGACAAAGAAACAAAAACATAGTCTTTGACGTAAGACTTCCACGTCCAGAAAAGCATCAAGTCGTAAGTGTTCAAGCCAGAAGTGTTAAGCTAAAGACATAGTGTGGTGAGTGCAAAACACTCCTTGTCCCAAGCCATTAATTCCCTTCTGAATGCTGATGTCCAGTCCTCTGCCAGGAGAGCTTGCCCTTCACTTCTGTCAATTAAAGTATATACATATGAAATGTGTACCTGCTGTAATAGTCTTGGACTCATTTTGAGTTACTAATTAATGTGAGCTGTAGGACCTTTTCTGAACCCTTAGTCAGGTCTCAAGCCTCTTTTGTTCAAGTGTTTTTGTTTTATCATCTGCATTAAGAAGTTTTAGTCTTAGAACCTTTCATCTTGTAATTGGGTTTTTCTGAATCCCTATGCTCTCATTCAACACATTAGCTTTTCTTTCCCCATCTGAAAATCGGGAAAAATTTGGGACTGTCAAATTTTATATCTACATATAGGGTTGGGTTTTTCAAGTTTTGCAGGACTAGGGATCGAACACAGGGTCTCAGACACACACAGCATGAGCTTTCCTACCAAGCAATACCCCAGCTCCTGTCGTACATATTTGATCTACATTCAGTGCTCCCAAGTATTTACAGGAATGAAAATGTATCAGCATATTCTTTTTCTACTTCAAAATATTTGGAGACATACTGACTTTCCAATTATCCACCATCATCAAAATCAACCTCCACCTGAAAAAAAAAACCACCAAATTTCCTGCTGAATTCCACTGAGTCTTAGGTCGTCTCTGATCAACTAATTCTATGGGAATTTATTTCTTTAAACCTAACTTTTCCAATAACTAAAGAGTTAGAAGAGTCATATTACTTCCAAATCATCTCTATTGCTGTTGAAAATTTACCTGTGCAGGGGCCGGAGCAATAGTACAGCGGGTAGGATGTTTGCCTTGCACAAGGTCGACCCAGGTTCAATTCCCAGCATCCCATATGGTCCCCCGAGCACCACCAGGAGTAATTCCTGAGTGCAGAGTCAGGTGTTAATGCCTGATCATTGCCGGGTATGACCCAAAAAGCAAAAAAAAAAAAGAAAAAAAAGTAAATAATAAAACTTAAAAAACAGGAAAAAAGGTTTTATTTGGGGCCAGAGTGATAGTACAATGGGTAGAGTGTTTGCCTTGCACATGGCCGACCCGGGTACAATCTTCGACATCCCATGTAGTCCTGTCAGTGGTAATTCCTGAGTAGCACTGTCAGTGGTAATTCCTGAGTGCAGAGCCAGAAGTAACCCCTGAGCAATGCCAGTATGACCCAAAAACAAACAAACAAAAAAAAAAAAAAGAAAATTTACCCATGCAATGATCCATTCCCGAATACTGCAAAAGGGGCTAAGGAACAGTGCAGGAGCTAAGACAAGGTGCCAGCCCTGTATGTGGTCAACCCAGGTGGAAATCTCCAGCTAGCTGAGCTAACTGAGCGCTAACCTCTGACATTCTGGACCAACCCCCCAGCACAGACATACAGTCCCCGGAAAGTGACCCCCGAGCATAGAGCTGGCACTGAGCACCATCGCATGTGGCTCCAACACAAAAACAAAATAAAACAAACTTTAGATTTGTTAAAGACAGGGCCAGAGTGATAATACAGTGGGGAGGAGATCTGACTTGCAGACAGCACACCCAAGTTTGATCCCCAGCAGCACATAAGGTCCCGAGTCTGCCAGGACTGATCCCTGAGCAGACCCAGGAGTAAGCCCTGAACACTGCAGATGTGGCCCAAAATTTTTGTGCATATTATGCATGTGGGACTCCCATGCTCAGTCACTGGAGCTACATGGCCCTCTGAGACCATCAGGAATGATCCCGAAGTACCAAGACAGCAGTAACCCACAGCACTACCAGGCGTGGCCACAAGACAAAAATAATTAATGAAATTGTTCACTTACTTGAACATAATTGATAAAATCTTCCTTAAAAAGAGTTCTTCGCTGAATTTTGTATTCCAGATCTGAAGCCTTCTTAATAATAGATCTAAAGAGAACATGTAAAATTTAGCTCTTAAAAAAGAACAAGAATTCAAATCACAGCACCCAAAAGGAGAGAGAGAACAAAAGGGAATGCCCTGCCACAGTGGCAGGGTGGGATGGGGGGATGGGGATTGGGAGAAATACTGGAATCAGTGTTGGTGGAGAATGGGCACTGGTGGAGGGATGGGTACTCGATCATTGTATAACTGAAACCCTGTCACTGTCACTGTCCTCCCGTTGTTCATCGATTTGCTCGAGCGGGTCCAGTAACGTCTCCATTGGAGACTTTGTTGTTACTGTGTCTGGCATATCGAATACGTCACGGGGAGCTTGCCAGGCCCTGCCGTGCGGGTGAGATACTCTCGGTAGCTTGCCGGGCTCTCCAAGAGGGGCGGAGGAATCGAACTCAGGTCGGCCATGTTGGCTGCGTGCAAGGCAAACGCCCTACCGCTGTGCTATCTCTCCAGCCCCAACTGAAACCCAAGCACAAAAATTTGTAAGTCTACAACTGTACCTCATGGTGTTTCACTAATAAAAATTTTTAAAAAAGCAAGAATTAAGTAAACTGGGTGTTCTTATTTTTAATACTACATAAAGCACATATTTACCAAATCATATAATTCCCCATACTTATCTCTCCTAAGCAAGTATTCTCTTCAGTGATTGCTTCTATTAATTTTTTATTGCTGTTGTTTTTACTCCTTGGCTTCTTTGGTGCCAGGGATCAAATTCTGGGTTTCATATACACAAAATATATGTCTGAGCTATATTCCTATTCTGCTTATTTCCTTGTTTGTGAACCATACCTGGTGGTGTTCAGGGAATACTCCTGGCTCTGTGCTCAGGACTTACTTAAGGGGTTCAGGGGGACCATGAGGTGCCAGGGATGGAAGCCAGGCCTCCTGCATGCAAAGAACACCCTCCAGCCCACTGAGCTCTCTGAAGCCCCTTAGATTATTTCTGTATTCTTAAAGGCATCAGAATGTATATGTATTTCCTAAAATCACCTTAGGAGTCGGAGAGATAGTATAGTGGCTACAAAATTTGCCTTGAATGCAGTCAACCCTGTTGAATTGCATGCAGTTCAATCCCTGGCCCACAAATCATCCCCTGTGTACCACCAGGAATGACTCCTAACCACTGAGTCAGTAATAGCACAAAGTAAGAAACAAGCCCTAAGCATAGACAGGTGTGGCAAGCAGGAGCAAGTGTGACAAAAAAAATAAATCATTATCTTAACAGCCAAGATCACTGTCATTCCCACCAGCAAAAGCCAAAAAAGCTAGTACATTACATATATGCAGTATCAGGACAAATTATTTTTCGTCCACACTCAATATACTTAAGTTTATTTTTTGGTGTCTTCTCTCTCTCTCTCTCTCTCTCTCTCTCTCTCTCTCTCTCTCTCTCTCTCTCTTTGGATTTTGGACCATACCTGGTGGTGCTGGGGGTGAGAAATAATACCAGCGCAGGGCTCGGGGGTCACTCCCAGTGGTCAGGAAGTTCAGTCAGGGATCAAATCCCAAGGCTCCCACATGCAAAGCCTGTGCTCAGCCAGCCAAGTGCTCTCTCGCCTGTTTCAGGAATAGTTAATAACTGACTCTCTCCTAAGCTCCTTTTACGCCTGAGTGTCCAACATACATGTAAAAAATAAGGTGGCAGGAGCAGGGAGGGGATTCAAAGGCTGGAGCAGAAGCTTTGCATGCAGAAGCCCCAAGCCCAATCCCTCCTCCTGAACACCACGGGGCATGGCCTCCAAAAAACAAAAATAAAAAAGGGAGATTAAACGGTCTCAACCTTGATATGTTCACAATTATTACAAAAGACTCAGAAGAAAACAGAAGATCTTCTGTTAAGTGAAGTTAAGTTCAAAGAAGGACAAACTCCGGATGTTATCACTTATCTGTGGTATACAGAATTAACAGGATAAGAAAATACAAGGTATGAAAGGGGGGATACCTTTATTACCCTTGACGCTAGATAACAAAAATGAGGAAAGGGAGAAAAAAAATCGGGGCTGGGGGGTTGGGGGGTGAATGAAAGAAGTGGACAGGAGGTAATAGGGTAGGGACCACAAGGAACATGGGTGATACATAGATGTGGTAAAGAGCTGTAGCGAAACCACAGAGCCATCAACACTGTAAGCAGGAGACCCAAACTTAATGTGTCTGTCAGGGAGGGCGGCTGGGGGCATGAGAGGGAACCTGAGACAATGGTAGAGAAGAGTCAACAAGGGGGGTGGGATTGGGATTCGAACACTGTGTGCCTGAAACTCAACTATGAATCACTTTGTAAATGATGGTGCCCAGAGAAGATGGTGGAAGGAAGTAGACACTGGTGGAGGGAGTGGTGCAGGAATGTGTTATGCAAGACCCTATCATTAACACCACTGTAAACCATAGTGCCTAAAATGAAATAAAATATAAAGGAAAATCAGGGGCCAGAGAAATAGTACAGCAGGTAGTACTTGCATACAGCCAACCTGGGTTTGATCCCCGGCACCCCATATGGTCCCCTGTGCACTGCCAGGAGTGATTCCTGAGTGCAAAGCCAGGAGTAACCCCTTAGCACCATCAGGTGTAACCAAAATAAAGAAAAAATAAAAAAGTTAAATCAAGGTGCCTTAATTAAAAAAAAAAAAGTATAAGAGCTGAAGAGATAGAACAGAGAGTAAGGAACTTTCCTTGGACTCAGCTGACCGGGGTTTAATCCCCAGCACTACACATAGTCCCCTGAGCCTGCCAGGAGTGACCCCTGAGCACAGAACCAGGAGTAAACCCTATGCAGCAAGAAATGTGGCACAAGAAAAAAAACAAAATTTAAGTTTAAACTATGAGTAAGATGTATTTATTCAAAATATATTGAATGCACAGTTCCACTAATCATTTTTTGTTTTTGTTTTGTTTTTTTCACACACACACACACAAAAAAAAATCTCAGAGAGGGCCTGGAAAGATAGATAGAAAGATAGATCAGTGAACAGGGCACTTGCCTCGCATTTCATCGCCTTGATTCCATCCCAGGACCCCATATGGCCCTCTGAGGAACCACCAGGAGTGATTCCTGAATGCAGAACAATAAGTAAGCCCTGAGCATAGACAAGTGCCCCCTCCAAAAAAAAAAATCTAAGAGCAGATTCCCTATCTTTAGCCAATGAGTGAACACACCTCTCATCCATCAGCAGAATGTACTGCATATGTGCAAAACCATTGGTGGTCCCTAGTTAGTGGTAACAATAACATTTATAGGGTATTCGTTAAGAGCCCACACTGCTAGGGCAGTAGAGGAAGACCAATGGTTAAGATGCTTGGCCAGCATGCAGCAGGTCCCAAGTTCTATTCATACACCCCATACCTGAGGTGCCCTGAGCACCACAGAGATCAATCCCTCAGGACAGAACCATAAGTAGCCCTTTAGCACCTCCAGTGGGGGCCAAAAACAAACCAAAAAGAGTCTGGACACTGCTTGTCCAGTGACAATGAACTCTCCGACTCACAATCAGAGGGACTGGACAGGTAGAGACAGTGGTGTAGTAACTGTTTGCCAAAACCATAAACCTAAGCATGACTGTAAATCATGTCACCTCAATAATAATAGTAACTCTGAAAATTGTTGAACTTAAGGACTGAGAGATACTCCACGGGCTGGAGTACCAACTTTGTGGGCAGAAGCCCACTTCCTGCCCAGTACGGCATGGCTCCTAGGACCCCTTCCCAGAACTGCACTGCCCGCTTGGACCGCTATGGGTACCAAGAAACAAAATAAACAGACGAATGACATTGAGCCTGACTTGAACACACTACGGAATAACAACAATAGAGCAAACCGTTGCAGGGGTAGAACAAGAAACTGAATCAAATAAACTTATAGTTCTATACCCAGTCCTCTAGACCAGTAGCACCCACACGCTCCAAGTTAACTTACAGTCCTCTCCACCACGCACCGTAACAGACCTGAACTATCGAACCTATACCATTCACAGAGCCCCACGACCTAGCTCCAGCTGTCACAGAACTGTCAGCAGCACAGCTGTCGGCAGGACCGCAATGCCAGGGTCCGGAGCGCTAGGACAGCGGGGAGGGCCTTTGCCTTGCACGCGGCCGACCTGGGTTCAATCCCCAGCATCCCATATGATCCAATAGGCATCGCCTGGAGTGATCCCTGAGTGCTGAGCCAGGAATCACCCGAGCATCGCCGGGTGTGACCCAAAAAGCAAAAAAGGAGGGAGAGAGGGAGGGAGGGAAGGAGGAAGGAAGGAAGGAAGGAAGGAAGGAAGGAAGGAAGGAAGGAAGGAAGGGAAGAAGGAAGGACTGCAATGACCGGGAAATGCACCCGGCAGCCTCCAGCCCTGCTTCCTCTCACTTGATCTCCGCATGACTGAACAATCCGATGCGCTCTAGCTGTTCCAATTCCGGGAGCCGGTCTTCTATGCGCTCCTGAATGATCTCCGCCATGAGGTCGGGAGTCTGCAGCCGGCTCCGAGCCTCCCCCGCCGCACCACGAGCAGGAGGGGCCACCTGGCCTTTCCCTCGGCCGCGCGTGCGTATGACGTCACGGGGGGGCCTCCCGGCCGCCGCTTCCGCTTCCGCCGCCTCCGCCGGTGGGGATGGACCTCTGGCTCCCGGGCTCGCTGTCTCCACCCCGTGGCTGGCCGTGGAGTTGCAGCGGGGACCGTTGTCGGTTTGGGGCAGAAGGATTCACGTGGACAGGAGTCGAGGGGCGGGACTTAGAGCGGCGGGCTGGACGTAGGCGGGGATCAGAGAAAGCTCCACCAGGTCTAGTAGACCTGGTTGAGCACGAAATGTGTTTTCTGCCGTCTTTCGTGCTGCTCGGTTCGTCGTCCTCACGTTCCAACACCAAAAAAACAAACTAGAAAAAAATAAGATAAAGCAAAGGGAATGGACAGAGGATATCGTAGTTATAATAACTACGTAAACAAAGACAGTAATGAAAATTTTAGGGGCCATTAAAACTGACCAACAACCTAAAGCAAAACCCTGATATAATTTGGGCTCTTAGTAAGTCAGTGTGATAATACAGACTTTTAATTGTTTATTAAAAAGCTGTGGGTTTTTGGGGAGAGGTTGTTTTGTTTTTTGGGTCACACCCCTCGATGCACAGGGGTTACTCATGGCTTTGCACTCAAGAATTACTCCTGATGGTGCTCAGGAGACCACATGGGATGCTGAGAATCGAAACCGGGTCCGCCGTGTGCAAGGCCCTACCCCGATGCTATCGCTCCAGCCCGGGGTTTTTGTTTGTTTGTTTGTTTGTTTTTATGGGAGAAAAAAATTGGGGGGGGTCTTATACGCTGCTATTCTCAGGGCTTACTCCTGGCTCTGCACTCAGGAATTACTGCTGGTGGTGCTCCGGAGACCATATGAGATGCCGAAAATTGAACCCAGGTCCACCGCTTGCAAGGCAAAGCTATTGCTCCAGCTGTGCTATTGCTCCAGCCCCTTTAACTAAGGGAAGAAATTCTTAGTTAAATAATTATCCTGACTTAGTAGGCAAGATCTTTCAAAATACATAGCTCTAAGTTATTATCAAAACCTTTTTTTTTTAAGAAAATGAAATCTGGAAGGAGAAATGCAGGATGGTATGTTCCCGTATAGGTGGTATTTAGAATAGCTGGATGAAGGAATGCAATGTCTTAAAGAGTGGAATGCCCAGATCAACCTTCACCCTAGGGTATAAGGAGAAGAAAAGAAAAGAGTGGAGGGGTGAGGGAGAAAAGACAGGTAAGAACCAATAGGCTTTAAAGTAAGAAAGTGGTGTTAAGGAATGATAGAGGCAAATTTCCAAACCACAGATCAACAACACTGAAATCAAGAGACCCAAACATAAACAACTTAAAAAGGTGCCTGACCAGAGGGCAAGCTGGAGGACTGGAGGGGGAAATGGGAGGCATTCTGAGAACACTGGTGGAGAGAAGTTGACACTGGTGGTGGGATTGGTACTACAATATTGTATGTCTAAAACTCAACTATGAATAACTTTGTAAATCGTGGTGCTTTAACAAAAATAAATAAATAGTTAAAAAAAATTTTAAGGAAATCTGGAACCAGAATCATAGTAAGCAGATAGGGTGTTTGCCTTGCACAAGGCCCACGTGGGACCAATCTTCCCCATCCCATATGGTCCCTAAGTTCAGAGCCTGAGCATCACTAGGCATGGTCCAGAAACGAAAATGAAAAGGGAAAGGAAAGAAAAGATAATCAAATCTTGATGGTTCTGGTGAGTTAGCTCAAAGAGCTGAAACATGAGTTGTGGACTCCGGGAGCCTCATCTTCCATCCCCAACATCTGGGGTAGGGGTACTCCTAGCACTACTGGGTGTGACTACACACGAAAGAAAGAAAGAAAGAAAGAAAGAAAGAAAGAAAGAAAGAAAGAAAGAAAGAAAGAGAGAGAGAGAGAAAGAACTAGGCTGCTCTTTCAAGTCATGTTCTCCCTTGAATATGTATCTCACTTGCTTATCTCTTCATTTCTTTGCTTGCTTATTTCCACTTTGGAGAAGCCTGTGTTCTCCAAGACTTTCTCTCCCCTCATATCTTTCTAAATAAGTTTCAATACAAAGTCTTGCCTCCCACAAAAGAAAAGGACAGAAAAGAAAAGAACAGAAAAGAAAAGGAAAGGAAAGAAAAGAGAAAGGAGAATTTGACATTGGAAGTTTGGAGTTACCTAAATAAATTAGTATGATGCAAGTTCTCAAGTCTTTGCCCAAGCCTAAGTAACCCAAGTAACAGTATTTCTTTTTCTTTTGCCTTTTTCTTTTTTCTTCTTCTTTTCTTTCTTTCATTTTTTTCTTTCCTTTTTTTTTTTTTTTTTTTTTTTTTGCAACAGCATGTCTAAGAGAACCTTCAGATAATGCAACTTGGAAGCTACATTCCTGGTGTGATTACTGAACCTAAATAATGACTGCATGCCTCCATTCTTTTTTAAGTTCTGAAAGATATTTAAAAAAAAAAGCAGGAGTTCTTGTTAGACCTGTTTATTTCAACATTCCCCTTAGCACCTTGATCCTCGGTGTGATTTATGAAAAAGGAACAGGCTTAGCAATTAACCATGTTTCACCTCTGAGCTTCCCTTTCTTTTTTTCCCTCTCAGATTTTACCCTACTGGTCTCTGAATTGCAAACTGGTGTAGGCTTCATCATTTCTTGATTCCCTTGACTATCACACATGAGAAAAGCAGAAGGGTATCGTAGATGTATAAGTGATATAGAATTTCTTTGTAATTGGAAAGTCTCTGGGGTCTGGGTTGAAAGGTAGGGGTGACACTAGAGTAAACCCATGCAAGCAGGGAATTGGGGTTACATTTTTTTTTTAATTTTTATTAGTGAGACACCATGAGGTACAGTTGTAGACTTACAAATTTTGTGCTTGGGTTTCATTTATACAATGATCAAATACCCATCCCTCCACCAATGCCCATTTCCCATCACCACGGATCCCAGTATCCCTCCCACCCCCCATTCCCCCCACCCACCCTGTCTCTGTGGCAGGGCATTCCCCTTTGTTCTCTCTCTCCTTTTGGGTGTTGTGGTTTGCAAAAGAGGCATTGCGTGGCAATCATGTTCGGTCTATAGTCTACTTTCAGCATGCTTCTCCCATCCTGGGAGGATCCTCCCAACACCCTTTATTTGGTGCTCCCTTCTCTATCTAAGCTGCCTTTTCCCCTAGCATGTGTGGCTGGCCTCCAAGCCATGGAGCAAAATTCCTGGTACTAATCTCGGCCATTCTTGGGTGTTAGTCTCCTATTTTGTTACTTTATGTTCGAATTGGGGTTACTTTTCACTCTACTCCTGGGTACTCAGAATAGTGCTGAGCATGTAATAAGCACCCAATATATAAATAAATTAAAGCAGGATAGAAAAGAAAAGGAAATTTTAAAAAAACCCTAATTTACTTATGTAACCAAATCATCAAAAATAAATAAAACCTCCCCCCAAACTTAGATGAAGTCTCAAAGTTTAAAAAAACAAAACCAGACTGGAGAGATAGTACAGTGCATGGGGGTATTTGCCTTGCACGAGGCCTACCCAGGTTTGATCCAACCTAGGTTCAATTCCTGACATTCCATGTGGTTCCCCAAGCACTGCCATGAATAATTCTTAAATGCAGAGCCAGGAATAACCCTTGAGCATTGTTGGGTGTGGCCTCAAAAATAAATGGATCAAAAGAGATAGTACAGCAGGTAGGGTGCTAGTCTTGCACACCCAGGTTCAAGCCAGGTTCCATTCCTGGCATCCCACATGGTCCCCTAAGTCTCACTAGGAATGATCCCTGAATGTAACCAGAAATAAGCCCTGAACACGGCAAGGTGGAGTGTGGCCCCAAAACAAGCAAGGCCAGAGAGATAGTACAGAGGTGAAGGTGCTTGCCTTGCAAACAACTCACCTAAATTTCATTTGTTGGTACCACACTTGGTCCCCTGTGCACCTCCAGGAGTAGCCCCTGAGCACCAGGGTTGTAGCTCAACCCCCTTTACCCCAAATAAAGAAAACAAAAACACCTAGACACAGCGGTGGGGGGATGCTGGGAGAAACATCATGTTCCCAAAAGATTAACATCAACTCTATTACAAATCTCAGTGCCTAATTTATTTATGTAACCAAGTAATCAAAAATAAAGCTTTCCCCCAATTTTAAAATCTAAAAATTAATCCAGTTGGACTGGAGAGAAAACTGATTGCCTGGCACGTTGGGAGCCAGCCCTGAGCTGGTGTGGTCCCCCAAAACTTTTTAAAGTCATTTTATTAATTTCAGAGAAGGTTAAGGAAGAAAACGAAAACAGGTCCTGGCAGGGGTGTGGCTCTGTGGCTGAAACACTTGCCTTGCAAAGAGACCAGAATTTCGGTCCCTGGTGCACCCACGTGACTGTCATCCTGGTAGCTCTGCTGCCCTGGGCCACCTGTGATGAGGTGAACCAAAGTAAGCAGAAAAGCAGGAGGCTGCTAAAAGACAGCTGGGAAGCAGGGTGAGACACAGGTGAGACACTGCAGGATGCAGGCATAGGAGGCCCAGAGAAAATCCGAATGCAGAGTGAGGAGCTGTCACACACTGCTCTTTCAGACTGCCTAGCAGAAAGGTGTTTTTTTTTTTTGTTTTTGCTTTTTCTTTTGGGGGGGTGTCACACCCGGCAATGCGCAAAGGTTACTCCTGGCTCTACATCCTCCTGGCGGTGCTCAGGGGACCATATGGGATGATGGGAATCAAACTTGGGTCAGTCACGTGCAAGGCAAACACCCTACCTGCTGTGCAATCGCTCCAGCCCCAAGAAAAAATGTTTTTAACTGTTCAAGGCTGACCGTGAAAGTCTAGCTTCTGTACCATGCTTGCTTGCTTAGTTAGAAGAAAACTGATTGATGTAGCCAAGTAAGATGTGATAAGAATGTATAAAAACTCTGCCTGGGGGCTAGAGCGATAGCACAGCGGGTAGGGCATTTGCCTTGCACGCGACTGACCCGGGTTCGATTCCCAGCATCCCATATGGTCCCCTGAGCACCGCCAGGAGTAATTCCTGAGTGCATG